CAAGGAAAGGTGGGGTGAATGACAGAGGATTAGAAGGAAGATGGAGTAGGAGCTTGGGGGAAAGTGAAGAGAAAAGATGGAAGGAGAGAAGGGATGTAAGATAGGAGGAGGGGGAGGAAGATTGGGGGGTGGGTTTCTCTCATTGCCTGAATCACTGGACTGAAACTGCAAAGTCTGCTGCAGTGGAGAGATGAGGTGGGCGGGGCTAAACGAGGGCGCTGACTTAGATGAAGAGGAGAACGGGAGGATTAGGGGTTAAATCTGCCTGTGCAAAAGTACAAGTTAATTCAGAGGTGGCAAGCATGTACTTACAGGTCGGGGGCTTAATGTTGCAAATAATGAGACCACTCACTCCATTAAAGTCAAATTTATCCTTCAGTAAGTGCTACACACACACACACACACACACAGTGAAGAAGAGAGATCTCAAAATCACCCTTCTCTGCTGAAAAGGGAGCGAACGCACACGCTTCGTGCGTTTCTACACACTGCATCTGCAGAGCATGCTGTCGAGAGGAATCCTGAGAGTGGAGACGAGAGCTGACAGAAAACACACACACCATGCACGGCTATATAAGCAGAGACACGCTGGTGCAAAGAGACAGTCGTGCAAGTTAAGCTTCGTGTACACCAGCAGTTACCTTGGCTGCTCTGAGCAGGCTTTGGTACTGAACTCAGCATACCTGTGGGGAGTTATGGAGGGTGAATACATGACTCGTAACCTGCTCTTAAAGATAAAAATGTTTTTGTAACTGTATCAAACTAAAGTGTAGAACAGGAAATGTCTTGCTTTGCCTAAGAACCTTTAAGAGTCAAAGTTATGCCTATAAACAATCATAAAAAAACTATTTGAAATGTGATTTTTACCAAAGCCCTGAAATGTGGCAGAAACGGACTTAAATAATTCTCTTCTTCATCGTGTGGCAGCTTCCTGCTCTTGCCGAGTTCATTATGAGAAGTTAAACTGGAACGCTCTGATGTTGCCGTTTGTCTCTAAATCTGTCAAAAAAAACATTTTGTCGTGAGGGCTTCGAATGAAGTAGAAACTTCAAACCTTACTTGACCTCACCTCAAAACCTCACTTCCTTCGATCGCTGCTCTGCTTGTGCTCAAAACTCAACTACTGTTCTGTCACTTTCACCTTTGAAGTTTCCGTTTGATTGTTTTTGCCTATTTTTGCAGAAGTCTACTTTGGTTTGTTTTGTTTCACCTAATCCACAAGTTCCCAACTGAAAGCAGACTGAAGAGTTTTTGACTCGTGTGAATTATTTCGATGAGCATCAGTGGTGTCGCCCTCGATTGGTTTCGGTGCTATTTAACTAATAGAAGTTTCTGTGTAAAAATTGACAATTTTATGTCTTCCACAGCCACTCTTCCATATGGTGTCCCCCAGGGCTCAATCCTTGGCCCTCTTTTATTTGCTCTTTACCTACTCCCCCTCGGCTCGGTTTTTAGGAAACATGGCATTTCATTTCACTTCTATGCTGATGACTGCCAGATCCATTTTCCCTTGGCACAAAACAACACATTCCAGCAACTTACACACTGCCTTAATGATATTAAAGCATGGTTTTCTCTTAACTTCCTTAGACTAAATGAGAACAAGACTGAAGTTATAATGTTTGGATAGAGTTGCTGTCCCTCTCCCAGTGTAGATCTTGGCTCACTGTCATTTTATCTCAGGTACTGTGGCACCAATCTGGGGGTGACGTTTGAGTCCGATTTTAAATTTGAAAAACAGATCAGCAGTGTTGTTCAGGAAAGTTTTTATCAACTTCGCCAAACAGCAAAAGTGAAACCAATCTTGGCAAGATCTGACTTGGAGAAATCAATCCATGCTTTTATCACAGCTCATCTCGACTACTGTAATGCACAGTATGCAGGCATTAACCGTACCTCTCTTGCCTGTTTGCAGCTTGTGCAGAACCCTGCTGCTCACCTGTTAACTCAGGCCCATAGGCGCAAACATATTACTCCCATCCTTGCGTCCCTTCACTGGCTCCCTGTGCACTACAGAATTAATTTTAAGCTTTTGCTATTTGTTTTTAAATACCTGAACAACCTTGCCCCACGGTATCTGTCTGAGCTGCTTCAGCGTTACTGCCCACCCCGATCCCTAAGATCAGCTGATCGGTTGCTGCTGACAGTCCCTAAATCTAGGCTGAAGCTCAGAGGTGACAGAGCTTTTGCTGTTGCTGCTCCCAGGTTATGGAACAACTTACCCTTGAGTGTCAGACAGGCCTCCTCTCTTCCTGTTTTTAAATCTCTTTTAAAAACACACTTTTATTCTTTGGCTTTTAACATGTGATCTCATCTTTTATGGCATCTCAACACACCTGCCATGAAATTGGTATGTGTATGTTTTTATGTCTCTTTTTGTATGCTTTGTACGTTTTCATTGCCTTAATCTATTTTGTGTCTTATTGTACAGCACTTTGGCTACCCCTGCGGTTTTTAAAATGTGCTATAGAAATGAAGTTGATTGATGGATTATTTGAACAGTCATGAGCACATTTTATCAAAAGCAGAAATAGACACAAACATTAACGACCACATAAAAAATGTGAGTACAAACTAGACAAAGTGAAAAAAATCTATAATAAACTATATAAAACGTGCAACCTGTAAAGCTTTGCGTTTCGTGCACAGTCGTAAAAGAACAGAAAAAGGAACGGGTATTTCATACCAAGGCTGCGATTGCTCAAGTATTGTCGCAGGCTGACGTTGCCCAGCTGGCTGGGTGTGATCTGGCCCACCTCCAGCGCCACAGCCATGCTCTCGCCCACCACCTCCATGCTCGCACACACCGACTGCACCTTCAGCATCAGCACAGACACCTGGGGGGAAATGGAAGACAATTGGCGTCTTCGTTTAATGGCATACACACTTTACTGTTGGAAAGTCTTGTTTTTGAGTCACATGTTGGTAGTTTTAGTGTAGTCTCATTTTTAATGATACCGGAGCTACAACAAAACTAGAGGAATTGCATTTCCTGCTAAAATGCAGTGTGAATGCTCATTGCTGAAGAACTTGCTGAAAAACAGCTGAAATCAGCTAAAACATGCAGAAATGTAGCTGAAGTTGAAGAACAAGCCTAAGTTAGAAGAAAGCAGAAAGAACACAAAAATTAGGAAATTAGCTTAAAAAAAAGAAGAAGCTGAAATTAGCAAAAATAAGCTGAAAAGTAGCTGAAAAGGCAGAAAGAAGCTTAAACTACCAGGAAGAAGTGGAAGGAGTTGAAATGAGCAAAAAATAAAATAAAAAGTGGAATTAGTTGAAAAAGCTACATTTAGCACATAACAGCTAAAAAGTAGCTGAAATGGCAGAAAAACCTGAAAGGAGCTGAAATTAGCAAAAATAATTAGTTGATTAGGCTGAAAGTAGCAGAAATTGCCAAAAAATAAATTGAATTTATCAGAAAACAGCTGAAATTAGCTGAAAAATGTTAAAATGCAAAAAAAAAAAAAATTTAAAACGTAGCTGAAAAGGTAGAACATGCTTAAATTAGCAGAAGAAAGCAGAAAAAATATGTTTGCCCAGTTAGACTGAAAGAAGCAGACATGAGCACTAAAAAGTGGATATTATCTGAAAAAAGTTTTAATTAGCATCAACAACAACAACAAAAAATAAACAGCTGAAAAGCAGCTACAAATTTCTAAAAGAAGTTTAAATTACCAGAAGGAAGTGGAGAGAGCAGATTTTTGCTGAATTAGGCTGAAATAAGTTGAAATGAGTATAAAATGTGGAATTAGCAAAATAAAAGAAGCTAAAATTAGCATAAAAACAGCTAAATAGTAGCTGAAATAGTAGAAAAAGCTGAAACGCAGAAATAAGCTGAAAGGAGCATAAGCTGAAATCAGTAGAAAAAAGTTATAAGAAGCACAAAAATTTTGTAGTTAGCAGAAAATCTAAAAGGAGCGCAAAACAGCTGGAAAAAAACAGCTGAAGGTATCTGGAAAAAAGTTTAAATTTGCACAAGGAAGCTTAAAAAAGCTGAACCATAACAAAGTGTGAAAGGATCTAAAGATATCAAGGATGCAAAATGAGCTAAATTCATTTTCTATGAGGAAAAAAAGTGTCAGAAAAGGTGAAATATTTCAACAAGCTAAAGTTGGACCAATACCAAAAGTTATATCAGGATTGTCCTGAACGAGCTGAACATTTTGTTTTATGATTTGTTGAAATTGCACAAAAATTGTGGAACAAGAAAGATGCCGTTAAAATGTACGGAAGAAAAATAGATCACAATAGAGAGAATGCTTAATAAACATTAACACAAGAAAAGCATAGCTCAGTCTACTGGAAACATTTTTAAAGTTTATTTTCAGGTTGTTGTTGTTTTTCTGGAAGACATTTCAAGTTTCTCACTAGATCTTTGGTAGGCTCATCAATGCTCTGGGACGTAGCGCTGACGCTGTCGGAGGAAGCGCCTCCCTCCTGCTCCTGACCAGTTACCGCCTCTGTGGCGCTTTCCGTGGCGCTCTGCTCACTGATGGTATCCTTGAAGCCTGAGATGGACACATCATCTGAAAAGTATAACCAGACAAGTGAAGCAAAGTAAATCCAGCTTCAAAACACCAAACTTCAACACCGCTTGAAGAAAAACCAGCACAATGCTTCCACCTCCTGTTCAGTATAGCTGTATGCAAGTGCATCAGCTGTCCCTGTTTTTTTTTTTTTTTTCTTGCAGTCAAAGGTTAAAAATAAATAAAAAAATGGTTGATTTGAAATTTAAAAAAATTATAACAACAGGGATTTGTTTGAAAGCAACCATGTGCATTTTCTTCACCTCTTTCCAACAAGCTGTAGGCGTCTCCATCCTCCAGCAGGTAGCTGTCGATGGAGATGTTGTCCAGGGACTGGAGGGATGGGCTCTTCTTCATGTTTTTGTAGGACACAGAGAAACTGGACTGGGAGCGGTCACGCATCAAACGACCACTGGAAGAAAAAAAAAATTAAGACGTGTCAGGAAGAAATGCAAGGCGCAACGTTAAATTGGTCTGAATTGCTACTTTTGAGTGGCATGATCTGTTGACTCACAGCAGTGTAGACAGGTTAATAATAAAAAAATAAAATCAGTCCAGTGTTCCCATTTGATTGAATTGGATATAAATTCTATTAGCCGACTGGGTCTGGCACTTTCAGAACTGCCAGAGCCATCTTGAGAAGTCATGAATTAAATATGTCTTCTGTCTGTTGTTGTAAGTTTGTTTAAGGTAAAGTAACGATCCCAGTAACAGAAGAAATCAAACAAAACCCACTAAATCAAAGTCATTTATAAGAAACGGAGCACAAGGCAGAAATAAAGAGCTACTTGTTTCACCTTTAACAAAACCACCACAGGTCAAAACAAAACACAGAAATAAAGATTACTCGAACACATACTGATACTAGACTAAAACAGGGTGTCATGCACACATGCACATTCAAGCTCGCTGTAAATTCAACCACAAATTTGCACCAGTTTACCCAACAAGAACAAAGACAGTACCTGTACACGCACTTTAAACTGGCTTCACAACAGCAGTGTGATGCGTTTAAAGCTCCAACCTTGTTGCTGCAGCAAATCTCTTCTGTGAACGTTTATATTTTTTTTACATGGCACTGCCTTTGTAGCACCCGTACTGTATTTTTCAGACTAGAAGGCGCACTTAAAACGGTTTAATTTTCTAAATAAAATAAAAAAACACAGTGAGCCTTATAATCTGAAAAATACGGTAACACAACGTCAAGATGGTTTCATTGCTACTGGCGCTACCTTTGGGTCCAAATGACCCATGAGGCCTTGCAGCCAGTGTAGACGCTCTAAATCTTTGAAGGAGCTGGAAAGAAACTCAGGAAGCTCCTCGCATCACGCTGCAGGTGTAAGCCAGCCTTAGAACATCTAGCCACAGATCCAGTGTCTTACATGTTAGACATGGAATAAAGGGAGCTGGATCTGCTGGAGTTTGAAGAGCTGAGGAGATCAGAAACCACAGACAAACTTCCTTTCCTTGGTAGAGAGAAAACACGCACACACCTCACATGGGTCAAAGTGGAAGTCAAGAGGCAGAAAATAGAGTTGAGTTCACAAATAAGACTTTGTGCGGACGATGGGTAAGAAAATGCACGCAATGACACAGCAAGCCTGAGGCCAGCTAACATTTATATGATGAGTCATGTTTAATCAGAGGAGGAGACCTCAAACTGAAACACTCATGAATATCATCATGAATCATGTTCAGGAAAAAATCTGACATGTAGAACAGTCTGAAAAATGCTGTTCAGGTCAGGAATATCTAAAAACAGATATGTGACTAAGTTTTATACTTGCAGTAATATTATCTTTGAATATTGTACAGATTTTAATAGATATCATTTAGTGTATAAAATGTCACTTTAAATGTTGTATATCACTATAATGTTAATTACTGACGAATAACAGAATTAAAGTTCCGTAAAGTTAAAATGTGTAAAAATTGATCAACCCTCCATGACAAATAATCAGATTAATTGCTTTACTGATGAACTATATAAATATATATTTAAATTTTTATTATGTATAATAAAATATATTAGATAATTATTTATATTATTACTTATATTATTATTTTATTATATATATAAAATAAAATATAATATTAAATTAATAAAATATAATAAATATTTATTTATATTTTTTATTATTTATAATTATTTTATTTTATTGTATTATATATATATAATTTTATTATTTATAATAAAATAAATAAAATCTAATATATTAAATAATCATATTTATTTATATTTTTTTATTATTCATATTTATTTATTTTATTCTATTTTATTTATTTTTTCCAGGACTTTTCTGTAAGATAAATTATGTTCGCTAATCTCATCAGTATTTATAGATGTCAACAGTCGCAGCAACAATTAGGTGACTGACGGTGTAATAGTCAGAAAATTACTCAAAACATAAATACTAATGATTGAAACAAAATAAAATGAACAATATTCTTTATAACTTTTAAAATATACATTTGTTTATTAGTTTATTGACTACAACATTAATTTAAACATATTTAAAGCAAAGCACTGGAGTTTTCAAAGACAGAAGGTTAAAAGTTCAGACTGTTTATTTTTAATTCCTGGATGTTTTTGACTAAATTATTGGAAAAAACAAACGGTGAAGAAGCAAACAAGGATTAGCCCCAAAGCAGATATCAGTTTCCATCTTATTACCAATTAGAGTTCCTCTAGGTTATTTCCTTTTGTAAATATTCACATATTTTGTTTTTTTATTTTAATTCACCAAGTCGCTTCTAAAATTGGAGCCCCTGAAGGATGTTTGCCTCCCACTTTGAAAACCTTTGCTCCCACGAGCCTCTACTTTCAAACGTTTCAACAAATTAACATTAAAACATATCTATAATTAAAGGAAGCCTTGATAAAGAAGCTTCTTCGTTTTCAAGTAGTTTTGTTCCCAGGACTGTTTTATATTAAAGTTTAGTTTTAATAAAAGTTTAGAAGCTGCCATAAAAGTTAATAAAAAGCAAATCATTAACTCGGTTTCAATAAAATAGAAAGAAATCTTATATAAACCTGAAGTTTCTAGAAAACATCACACAGAAGCATAGTAACGTTGTATCCCCACTGTAAGGCTGGACGTTTGTAAGGTACTGGAAGTAAAATTATTTTAGCGGGGGAGAATTTAAAAGCACGTAAGTACCTGGAGACTGACTGAGGCATCTTCAGTGCTGGCATCTTGTCTTTGTCACTGAAGTCTTTGCTGCTAAGTGGGTCAGACAGGGGGTCATTCACTTGGGTTTTGGAGTCCAACCCAACTTCATCGCCTGCAGCCAACCCATTATCCGTAGCCTCGCCGCCTCCAACTGAACTCGCCCTCAAAGGATTTTTAATAGGAGTCCTCTTCTCTGAGTGTTTTTGGTTCGAGTCGGGATGAGTAGCAGAGTTGGAGGATGGGACAAGTGGAGCAGGACACTGCGTGGCTCCGTTCTCCGGGCCTACGCTGCATAACAGCTGATCTACAGTGCAAGACTGCTTAGCTGCTCCTCCTTCACAGCCCTTCTCCGACTCCTCCCCTGCTTCGTTTGCAGGCTCCAGGGTTCCTCTGCTCTCTGAGGGGGACAGCTCCGATCTTGCAGGAGATTCTGCACCCTCGGATTCGGCTACAGGCTTCAAAAGGAGGGAAACCTCTGCACTTTTGAGCAGAAGGCCCAGGCAGAACGTAAAGGGCTGGTGGTCGGCAGCGCGGTGGGAAGTGTCTTTGCGCTCTCTCTTAGAGGCCATCGCCTCCAGATCCTGCTGCAGTGTCTGCTGCAGGGCTTTGAGGCTGCGCTGAAGAAGCATCAGAAACACATACTGCCGATGGCTCACCTGAAAACAAATGCACGCCAAATATTTTAAAAAGCGAGGTCGTCTGAGGTCATTTAAGTTGAGTAACATTTAACGTTTAATACAGATAAATTCTAAATTCGCCTCCTTCTATTTAAAATCCTACATAAACAAGGAAAACTGGCCAAAGTCAAAGACCAGGTACATGTCTGTCACCTTAAGCAAACTAATTGCTATTCAACATTTCTATGGAATCTTTTAAAACTACAAAACACGGTTTTAAATGTGACGAATCGAATAAAATTACAAGTATTAATTAAACTAGAAAGTTCCTGGAGAAACTTTGACGGGGACTGCCAGGCTGCTGCTGATTTAAATTGTTGATTTGACAGTACTCTGTGTTGGGGTTTGCTCTCGGCTACCAGTATATCAAATTTCAGCTGAATCGCTCTAAAAACTGCCAAGTTATATTTTTTCCTTTTAGCTAAGGCAACCATCTTTGATATATCATTTGCATTAGGAATGTCTAACAACTTGCTCTCAGCTACAACCATACTAAATTTCAACTCAATAACTCAAAGAATGACCGAGTTAAAGTCAATTTTGTGTTTGCTGAGGTAGCTATGGCAGCCATCTTGAATCAAAATGGCTCCAATCGTTCATCAGTTCTAGACATTTATCTCATGATTACTTTGTGAATTTCTGTTTACTTCAGGGACATCTACACTAAGTCATGTGACTTCACAGCAGCAGTTAGTGTGAGGAGCGTTCTCATTCGTTTCCAATGGGGAAAAATGGCACCTTTGTTAACAAAACACGTCGCCATGGTAACTCCGATTGCAAATAAAAGTAAAAGCACGCATCTCGATTGAGCCGGTCGTTTCGATATAACTTTTGTGGGGGTACACATTGCAGTTCACATCACATTAATGGTAAATGAATGCATGGTGGTCCCCAATAATTTACCCATTGCTCAAATCTGTAGATTTTGCTTCCACCAGAAAAACTAATTTAAGCGCGGGACACTTGGTTGAGCTGGTACAAACTATTTGACACTTTTGCACATAGTATCAAACAAAGACGACAAAATACCTGAGCGCTCAAGTGTTTCTGCACATGCACTAGTATGTGCACATCTGCATCTTTACTCGATGGCAAAGAGGACGAAGAGGGCCGACTGTCCAGTGAGATGGGGTTATGGAGTCCATTGCTGGGTGGCAGTGTTGATAAGCTGCAGTGAGAGGATGCTGGTGCGCTGTCTGTGCTGTAAAATTCCTTTAACAATCGCTTTCTCTGCAAGCGTGCGAACGCCTCTGCTGACGCGCTTCGGGACAACCCACATCCAGAAGATTCCCTCAGCTTCTCCTGAAGCTGGACGAGTTTCGCAGGCTGACAAGCCCACACAGTGAGAGGGAAGGAGTCTACAAACGGCTGCGGACGCCCTTTACCTCCACGGGTGCCTTCGTAGTCCACCCAAAACTGGGAGAAGTGCAGCGCCCAGAAGTCTGAAGCAGCAGGCGTCTTGAGGGCGTTGGTGCTTATCGTTGGCACCACCAGCCCCCGGTAGACGTCGTGCATCTTTGTGTCTTGTTCATGAGCGTGCTGCTGGAAGACTGGATGGAGGACGGGCACAGAGGAAGAGGAGCGAGGGAAGGAGGAGAATGATGAAGAGAAGAATGGCTCCTCTTCAAAGGCCTGCAGCAGGGACTCGAGGTGGGAGCGAGTGCAGTTGGCAGGGTGTCGGCTGTTAGTGGCGATCATTTCTGAAGTCTGTATGGAGATGGCGCGAGGCAGGTCATCGGGGCAGGAGGCGTCCTGATCGGTGGGAACCACCACCTAGAAACCAAACAAGCACAAATAAATGTAAATACATTTAAGCCTTAAAAATCCTGAAAACAGCTCAGGCTTCTGCGATCCTCCTTACTTTAAGCATCAGCCCATCGACCTTGATGTCAACATGCTCGTCAGGTTTCTGTGAGTCGTTGAGCTTGTAGATCTCCATGAACTGCTCCAGACTCTGCCTGAGGTCGAGGGCAAACAGGTTGAGCCACACCAAGCTGCGAGGATCCAGAACCAGCTGCAGGGCGTTGAGCTGGGCGTACAGGTTGGGACAGGGAACTGCAGGAGAGGGAGGAGGGAAGGGACGACGGTCGAAGTGGTGTTGAATGTCAGAAACAAATTGAAGAGAAATTAGAAACTTTGTTTCCAAACAAAATAAATGTGAAAAATAAGTAAATAATTTCTCAAGAGTTTTTGGATTATTTCAAACAAATCTATTTTCTCGTAGCCACACAAATCAGTGAGTCTCCAACTAGTGGATGAATGAGCTGAACAGATCCAGAAGAAGAGGAACTGAGAATCGCAGCCAATTTAAGAAGCCCGTTTTAGAAAATGTGGTGAAGCCAATTAGAGGCGCTGAACGCTGAACGACATCTGCAGAAGCTGAAACAGAGTTGCTAAAAAAGCAGAACTCTAGCTAAAAGTTAAAATGAGCAAAACATTCGCTAACAAAAAAATTAGCAAAATATTAGACAAAAGTAGCTAAACAAAAGGTTAGCTAAAAGTAGCAGAACAGTAACTAAAAGCAGCAAAAGGCTAACATGGGTAGCAGATCAGTAAATAATAGCTAAAAGTAGCAGAACAGTAACTAAAAGCTAACAACAACAAAAGGCTAACATAGGTAGCAGGTCAGTAAATAAAAGCTAAAGGTAACAGAACAATAACTAAAAGCTAACAGTAGCAAAAGGCTAACATAGGTTGCAGATCAGTAAATAAAAGCTAAAAGAAACAGAACAGTTACTAAAAGCTAAGAGCAACAAAAGGTTAACATAGGTAGCAGATCAATAAATAAAAGCTAAAAGTAGCAGAACAGTAAGGACAAGTTAAAATTAGCAAAGGGCAAGCTAAAAGCTAAAAGTAGAAAAACTAACTAAACATAGCAAAACTAACTAAAAGTAGCATAAGAAGACAAAAATAGAGCATATAAGCAGATTTCAAACAAAATGTTTTTGAAGGAAATGAAGATTCAATGTGTTTTTAGAGAGAAAATATTTTTAAAACAAAATATATTGAAAGGTATAAAAGTTACAAATACTAAAGGTCATAGTACTTATCTCCTGAATGAATTGCAAAAAAAAACATTTGCCAGAATAAAAAATTGGAAATCAATAGTGTGAATGCTGACTCAGCAGTCACTATTAGCAAAAACAAATAATTATATTTTCTAAAATGCAGGCAATACAGTAAAAGTAGCTCAAATATTAAAGCGGTCATACTGGGGTCATCTTTTTCATCAGGAAAGTAGTATTCTGTGAGCTCAACATGAATAGCCGGCATCTCTGGAGGAAGGTACAGGGACTTTTTGTTGCAGGAGACCATGGTCTTTGGGGTAGACCGATGCTGATCTGCTGTCGACACCTGACAAACAAAAAGGAAATCAAAGGGAATAAAGAACATGTGTGCAAACTTGTGGATTTCACATATGAAAAGTTGTGCACTCATTATTGTAGTGACCTGGTAAATACTGATGTCAGCCATTCTGAGAACAAACGAGCTGGACATAAGGTGGGTCTTTGGAGTTTGAGGAGGAGGTGGACTGAATGAAGCGCTGGAGGAGGTTGTGTTGATCTTTCCTGCAGAGGACAGAGACATGAAAAGATAGGAAACCAGAATAATTAAAACAATAAAATGACAATCTGAAAGCTTTTTCCATCTCCAAAGAGAAACTTGAGAGCCTAGAAAAAACTTGTGCATCACCGCACCCAGCTGTGCGCACACACACTCTAGTACCTGATTCTAGGCACCAGCAGCACTGAGGTAGAGGTTGTGTGTGAGAGTTCAACTCTAGGAGTCCTCCATCTGCCCCCCTAAGCCCTACTTCTCCATCTGCTTTCTCCTGACTTCCTAGAGGCTCATACACATCGTCCTTAAAGGACACTGGAGGACAGAGAACCCACAGGGGATGATGTGCTGTCGGTACCGGGAGGGACAACAAAAACCCACACCTAAAACAATCTAACGATCTGTACTGTGCGTTCGCGTGTTTGTTTACCATGATGTGGAGAGCTGTGTCCAGCACCTGGGCCTTGTCGGTCTCGAACTGCATCCTTTAACATCTCTACGTTGGATTTGAACTCGTCAAGTAGATTTTTCGCCCAGCTCTCTCTGGTTTTGGTGGCCTCACTGTAGTGCATCCAGTGGACACAGCTGTCACCTACAGGAGCAGAGGTAATTACTTGTCATTATACTTTTTGAAAGGCAAGAACAAGAGTTTCGGTAGATTATAGTCGAGGGCAGATGTTCACACCTGCTTTGTGGAACGGGTAGTAGTCCAGAGTGATAGAGCTGAAAGAAAGCTGCATTGCTCCACCTGTTATCCTCTTATTGGTAACTGCAAAAAAACAAACAAAAAAAAAACAATGCCTCAAACTAATTTTACCTTAAAACTTTAAATAAAAACCACTTATCTCTGTGGTTTCAGTCAAAGCTGAAATGGAAGACATCAGGTCTATGGTCTAGGTCTACGCTACCTTTGTCCTTAGCATGGATGTCGTCACAGATATGCAGGTCGAGGTGTGTAATCTGGAGGTGGTGGGAGGTCTCGCACACATCGTAGGCACTGAACAACTTGGCTATGGTTGCACTCTGGTCGGTGGCTGTGGACGTCTGCTGGGTGCGCACCTCTTGGGCTGAAGGAGGCGGCGATGAAACCTGTTGAACACGGATAAAATTTTTAGCACCCATGTTTTATCATAAGCATCGCTGGATGGCAGTGGCCGAGCTCTTCAGGTTTTTATATTGAAAAAAACTACAAAATGTGAACTAATATGAGTATTGCAGTGCTCAATGCTTCCACCAGATGGCGTGTTGGGACCACATTACTGTAACCATACTGACCATGAATGTACATGTTGTGTGACAGAATAACAAAAAAATAGAAACTAGAAAATGGCTAAAGCAACAAGACAGAGATAACATCAGCAGATAAAAAGTATACAACGTTAAGAACGTGCAAACTTAAAGATAAATGATCAGACTGTGGCTCATGGAGAGAAATCAGCAATGGTAGACAGAGGAGGAAAAGTCAAAAATGGGTGGAGGGGGTAGTATGGCAGACAAAAAGATGGAGAAATCAACGTCTAACAGGAGTGGGGAAAAAAGCTCTGTGTTTATAAAGTTGTCCTTCACCTGTTCGTCTGCTGCCATGCTCTTCCTCTGCTGCGCAGACTTCTCCATGGCCTCGCTGAGCGACTTCGCATACTGCACCATTGCTTTTAGCTGGGAGTCCGTCAGCACCCACAGCAGGTCATCCAGGATAAGAATCAGCTTCGAAGCCACCACGTTACAGTCCTTTATCTGTACCAGGAAGTTCGCATAAATATGAAACGTGTAGGTGGATGTTGCAACTGATAACATTAGATAAAATATTTCTGGGTCGTTTCTGATTGCGGAGAACGTTTAATAAAATTGTTCCAGACAATACAGGTGCGGCATGATACACAAATTGTTTTTACAAGCTGAACTAACTGCACAGAGTAAGTGTGTTCATCTTATAAAATATGTTTTAATGAGAATTGGGGCTAACCATTTTCATAAACTACACTTAAACATCTTTTAGTGCTACTGATGATCAATCTGCAGCTCAGTGCTCGTCAGATTTGTTGTAAAAAACATTTGATGAAGCAGTGTTGCTGGTCCTGCAGCCTGTGAGGCGGCACACAGGGATCATTGTCAGACAGCAAACAAGAAGCTATCATTTAAAGGAGTGTGATTTTGAGCCTGGTCCATCAAAGAGCGAGTGTGTGCTCCTACTCGTATGCTCTGTGTGTGTCTTTCTAACCCGTCTCTTCAGAGTGACTCTGATCTTTGACTGGTTGGTGATGAGGCGGATGGGCGCGCTCAACATCTCGTGCTCGGTGCTTTGGATGGCGTCAGCCTCAATACGGATCATCTGCCAGCTGATTTCTTTAAACGTCAGGATCTAAAGTAAACAAAGCGATGAACTGAAAAGAGCAAGGCCACTGAAGCAAACCTTTTTAATTTCAAAACAACCAACACGGACCTCCCCCCTCTGAGGATCCTGGATGCGAGTGAAGCGCAGATCACTGATGCTCCAGCTGGTGTTGACGCTGTAGACCTGCAGCTGGGAGAGCTCAAAGGAGGCGTTAAAGGCCTTGGCGCTGATCTTGATGATGATGGAGTTGATGGAGAGCGTAATCCCCTCCACCACCTTTTCAGCAAAGCCATATTCACTGTAAAAAGGACAAATATAGAGCATTTAAAAAAAAAAAGAAAAAAGTTTTGCTTCTTCTATGTCTGATTTTAAGAGTAAATCACCAAAAGCGCACCTTTGTCCTGATGCTGTTGCTATGGGAGACGGACCATTGGGTGGACGGGGCTCATCGCACGTGCTCATCTCCATTATTACTTTATCCAGAGACTGAAAGAACAAATATAGGTTAACAACTAAAATCCATAGCACTTTAGTCAAAGTCAAAGTCACTTTATTGTCAAAAGCTGCAATATGTACAGGACATACACAGGATTGAAATTACATTTCTCTCAGACCCCGGTGCAACAATAACCATTTAACATTAAAACATTTATTAAACATAAGCATAAAATGAAATAATAAAAGCATGATACTGTCTTAAATTGTACTATAGCGGTATAAAAATATTTTTAAAAAGTATATCTATAAAATAAAATGAAATTAAATGAAGGTCCTGACATTGATATTTGTAGTGAGTGGCAAAGCAGCATATGAAGTGAATGTACACAGTGTATGGATGAAGTCCTTGATATTGGTGTGGGTAAAGTGACATATGCAATAAGACTAGTAAAAATATATATTTATATATCAGCGGTAGTGTAATATAAGCAGCAGTGTGAGTATAAACAGTAGGGCAAATGTAAACAGTAGTGTGAATGTAAAAAACTAAAAAAAAAAAACGTTTTACTCATTATTTAATCTGAAGCAGAATTCCTTTTATTTTTTGGCATTTCTTTGTAATACCTTTAACACGATTACCTTTTAACAACAACCTTGAGAAAAAAAAATGAATTTGAAAATTTTGGCTTTTTTTTTCTGATGCATTTTTTAGTGGTAGACTGTGAATAGAGAGAGATCCCTGGCACTTTCATTATGCTGTTACTATTTTTATACAAGTCTTGACATAATAAGCCTTTTATTGGTGCGCCTGCAGATAGACTCATCGCTTTACATTTATACTTTGAGTTTAAAGCCAATGCAGCAATCAATACTGTGTTATTTTGGGCTCCAGTCACGTTTTGCTGAACCTACAGATGAGACTCAATGACTAAACTAAACATTCAGGTTCAGATGAGCATTATAGAAGCAGCATGCGTGACTGCTGGTTGTGTGGCTGCCGGGAAAAACATCTATCTGGGGACTGGGATCAGGCTGGCAGGCAGCTGATAACCAGACACCTGCGCCCTGTGCGCTGATGTGGCAGCCACGAGGGAGAAACTGGCAGCCATGGTAAATAGATAAAAAACATTTGAGCAAAACATGAAAGCTATCACAACGAAAATAAGAGAATGAATGAACCCAGGGGTCCTTTTAAACAGGACTAACCAATTAATGCACCATGTATCGGTCCAATTTAATAATCAACTAACATTTTAGTGCAGCTCCCACCACTGCGACAGTATAAAGGGTGAACCTCCAAAGCTTCACAATGTTCAACAGCTACCGCAGTCAACTTATCTTGCTGGTGATACTGATGATTAACAGCAAGAGATTTTATTACAGCAACAACAAAGTGGACAATAAGGCACGGAGCCGCTACAGACAATGTGTTAGAGAAGTGGGTGTGCTACAGTGAAGGATTGCTGAAAAGTCAAATTGTAAAAACTTTCTGATGCAGCAGCTATAAATCGTTATCGCAAGTTCAGCATTGTGCACGAGCTCCTCTCTTCCTCCGTTTCAAGAAATACATTTTCAAAGTAGTTTTTTTTTTTTTAGCTACAACTTCATGCCTTTTTGGAACGCGACACACTTGCGGAGTTTTGTGTGTCGCTGCCTTGCCATCGTGGTTCAGTTCCCGTCCCCCACTCAGGCTGTCATGGCGGCCATCTCCATGATCCTCCATCTGCCTGCACGGAACAAACTATACAAAAACTTTGGATTTTCTCCGTCCGCCATACCCGGTTCTGTAGACTGTCTGGAAGGGCGTCTGCTGCGGTCGTTATTACCGTCAAGCTGCTGACGGGACTTGCTAGCGAGACCTGCTAACGCTGCTAACAGGATTCTCCATCTGCCTGCACAGACCGTACTCTATGGACCTGTTCGGTTCTGCGGGGAAACCCTGGATGTTCTCCGTCTGCCAGACCCAGTTCTGGAGGGCAGTCTGGGAGGCAGCTTCTGTGGTCCTTATTGTCATCAAGCTGCTGACGGGACCTGCTAAGACCACGCCACTAACAGTACCATACTGCTGTAGACTTATATCTTTTTCACTTTTGGTGCCTTGTTTTTGTATTTTTGCTGCATGCTTTGATATTTGCTGTTGTTGCTTTGTTTTGTTTTTGGCGTGTCGAGATGGTTCTCGTCCTGAGCATTTCATTGTACTGTTGACCTTGCGTTGATTTTACATATGACAAATAAACCAAACCTCAACTTAAGTTCCTTCCAAAAGATTAGCACACTTGTGTGCAATCGTGTTGCTCCATTTGAATCCTCCAACAATGTTGCACAAAGAATCTTGCTCCCTGCTCTTCATAGAGAGAGCAGAAAGTGTGTTGAAGAGCCGTCAATCAAGTTGTAAAAGCTTTATTTGAAACAGATTTTCCTTTTTGGTTCAGCAGCAAGATTTAGTTTAAATTCAACAATGTGCAGGAGTTCTTTCTGCTATTTTGGATTTTTTTTTTTTTTTTATCCATCTCCCTTGACACAGTTTCAAGACATGAATACTGGCTACACTTTTTTAAGACCTTTTTAATTAAAGAGGATTTCTGCAAACTAAACGCACCCAAATCTATATTAAAAGTTACACTTCTGATCATTTAACAAACGACTTACCAAAGAGATTGGGTGAGTCTTCAGTTTTGTCCATGGTATCTATCAGTGAAAAAAAGAAAAGGGTTTAGGATTAGGCTGCTAAAAACAAAGTTAAAACAAGCAGGAGAGGGTAGAAAAGAAAAATCAACTAAACCAATGGTGCCTGGGCCGACAGGCAGGTCGACTGAGCTGCAGAGCTGCATTACTCCTGGACACAAAGCTTTCTAATTAAAGTCGGTGTGAAATTATACAGTAAAACAGTGATCTTTGCCAACTTTTATTTCCACAGAGCAACTTGTTCTTCAAGGAAATACAAATCAAGAAATGCTCAGTGTTTAATGCATTGATTAAGACATATGATTTCCCCCACCTGTCATAGAAGCCACTGAAGATGCCAAGAAATGGTGCTAGTTCCCGTTAGTCACTGAGCCATCAAAGAACTATTTACAACACTATATAAAGCTGTAAAAACCAACATATATGACTTGGCAAACTCTACTCCACCAGGATGAAAAAGAGTATTTTAGCCTAAAGGGGTCAGCATTTTCTTATTTTGTAACGGGAAGACAGGAGAAAAGAACAAGTGTATGTCACTTCTAACAAGGAAGTGACAAACATTTTGGATTTTCATTCCAACTCAAGATTAAAACCCAAAAACTAAAGGAGACGTATCCAGAGAGGAAAAGACTTTCAACGCACCAGATTCACCCAGCACTAAGAAATCTGTTGCACCACACAAATGGATTATAAATGATGTGATCGTTACAGGATACACCGTCAATGACGGCAAATATAAGAGAAACATAATTAAAACAATATCAATCAAGGACATACAACTTAAAGTTTGTTCCGTTACTTATTGAACAAATTCACAATACAAGTGGATTAAAATCAGCAATAACTAAAAGAAATACTGAGGATTTATAAGCAGAGGAAAAGTAAGGTGGAAGATGAAAGGAAAAGGTGGAAAATGGACCTTGGTCTGAATAAAAGTGTGTCATGAAGCAAATTATACTTCAGTTTTCCAGGGTGTGTCAAAAACTGCTCTTAGACTTGGCTGACAACCGCAGCAGGCCAGGAGATGATGCCAAAGGGTGTATTTGTAGAGAAAGAGTCACCAACATCTGTGACTTGTCCCCTTGCAGCACTTGCATAATGTCCGATGTGCACAGAGGGCAACAAAACTTTTATTTTACCTAAATCCCCAAAATAATACCATTTAAAACCCATTTGGCACAATATTTGAAACACACCTGGAAGAAATTAGTATTTAATCAATGCTGTGGGGTTAAAATAGTCAATCTTCTGAAAAGATTTCCGTCAGCTGCCAGGACACAGGCTAGCCATAGTGACCCTCACCCTGATGGTAGCCTTGTTGCAGAACACCCGGTTGATGGCCAGCCAGGTGGGCAGGTCCAAGAGACTCTGGAGGACCTCCTCATCCAGCTCCAGGTTGGTGAGCTGGCCCTCCCCCTTCAACGTGCTCAGGTTGATCTTGTCCGGCGACAGGTTCTTAGCAAACCTACAAAACAAGGAGGCAGAGTGAAGCGTTGATGCTAAATTTATCGAGAGTTTTTGGCAAACAATCTCCACCCCTGACGCACATCTTGTTTTTCAGATGCCGATTGCAAAATGCACACAACTTATTTCCAAACGCATGGCTTTAAAAATAGTTACAGGGCAGTACGTGTTCAAATAGCAACACCAACAAGCTGCAAACTCTTTTTTTAAGAATGTCCTTTAAAAATACATATTAGAATAATAAAGTAGGATTGTACTCTGGTGCTGAAGTTGTTGTATACAGCAAGTATACATAAGATTTGGTTCAATTGTATTTCAACAAATAAAATATTTGAGAATACGTTCAGATCTTAAAAAGCCTCATCCCCCTACAAACATGATATAAAGATGAATAAAAGGAGCAGGTTCTGATCCAACACTAAACAGGATAGCTGTTTATGAAATGTATGTAGCCAGGGCAAACAATGTGCCTGAGTGTCACAGGAAACATGCACAAAATCATTAAAAGCCAATATTTAGACCTATACCCTTGAAGTAACATGTAGGGATTATGTTAGTCTATTTGCTTTTTGTCCGCAATAAAAAAAAAAGACTTAAATACACAAAGTTAATGCTAATAACCTGAGTGTTTTTGTCCCCTTTAACAGTGTTAGTTAATAGTTAGCAGAGTGGTTGTATAAATGGCTCATTCAACCTTGAATCTTTACAAAGCAGTTTTGTGAAATCTCTTAGCAAAAAGGATAAATAACATTTCACTTTCTTTCCAGGCCAACAGTCGCACAACTATGACTGTAAATGTCCCAAATTTTTGTCTACATGACATTTGAGCTTTGAGTAATGGTATATGCTGTGAAACATTTCTCTTCTGAATAAAGCTGGTAATTAACAACAAATATTCAGTGTTAAGAAAATATTTCAATTAAGGTAGTACAATCTGAAAGATTTCCTGAACTGACAAAAATGATACAAAGAATATATTTACTCAGAGAATAGATAAATGTATCATTGTGTCTCATAAACCACTGTCCAATTGTAAAATTAGTGCTTTAATGTGCAGCATCTTAATGTGTTGATGTATCCACAAGAAAACACTAAACTTAAATTTTAAAGTGTGTACTAAAAGTTTTGATGAATTTTGAGTTTGTTTTTTTTATGAATGTGTTCAACATAATGGTATTTCCTTCAGTTATTTAACAGTCAATGGTGTACCACAAGGCTCAGTCTTAGGAGCCACCCTCTTTACAATTTACAAAGGTAATGTAGGTCAGAGCATCCCTGATGCATCCTTACATTTCTATGCTGATGACATTTATTGTCAAGCTAAAACAGTTGCTAAGTTTTTCCAACTTCTGCAATCCACTTTTGACATCATCCAGTCAGATTTGTTCCGTCTCAAACTTGTCCTAAATGCCAACAAAACCAAAGGGATGCTTTTCTCAAACAAAAAAATAATAATTTTTAAAGTCAGTCCCAGCAGCTTTTCCTCTGATTTTATCCTCAAATGGTGTCCCTATTGAGTTTGTCAATTCCTACAAATACTTGAGTATCTTGGTCGACGTATATCTCTTTTAAGCTCAACGTGGAAAACCTAGTAAGGAAACTGAAAGTTAAACTGGGTTTCTTTTTCAGAGACGGATCCTGTCTAACTCTGAACGCTAGGAAACGCCTTGAAACTACAACTTTCCTTCAATCCATTGACTATGGTGATTTTATTTACGCCCCCACAAGCACCCTGCAGATGTTGGATGCCGTCTATGCACTAAGATTTATAAATGGCTGTAACTATCGTACCTATCACTGCACCCTGTATTCACGCGTTTTGAATTCATCATGTCCTGGATGACTGAGAATCTTCACCAGCACCTGTATTCACAGGTTAACTGGTCATCATTAACTTTACGCAGACTCTCCCACTGGTACATTTTCATCTTTGTCACTTCTTGGTCTGCTGCCTTCATATATCTCCTCTTACACATCTCTGTGTGAGTGCAGCTACAGCGTGCGCTCTCAGGACATTATTACCTGCAGTGTCCCCTCAGTGCGGACTGAACTAGGCAAAAGGGCCTTCTCTTACTCCGCTCTCGTTTCTTGGAATACCTTGCAAAAAGATCTGAAGCTCTCGACCTGGACCTCTCTAAGTGGCTTGAAACATCTGCTAAGTTCCTGGGAAAAACCAATGCAGACATGTTCCTGTTTTTAGTTTTCTATACACGACAGTTTATGACGGATAAAGTGCAAAAATAAAACCATAAAGAAGACAACTTGTATTGTCAACTACAGGAAAGAAAAATGTTCAAATATAGAACTAATCAGTACCTGTATAGTTGTATCAAGACAAAGAGGCAACATAACGACGCTCGCAACGTTAAAAGCTAAAGCCTGATATTACTGTCTGGCGAGCACCACTTTGTGATAAAAAATAAATAAATAACGTGTTTTAAATAATTTAATCTATCAAACTTGTGCTGCTTTGCACACAACATCATCCCCATGCTGTTACGTCTCCAATTCAACATTTGTGTAAATTATTCAGCAGCAGAGGCGTAAACAAATCCTCAACACAAGAGCACAAGACAAAATACGCACACCTGATGAATGGACACACGGAGGCATGAACATTCTCAGGCAGAAACAGTGAGTTTGGATCCGAGGATGTTGATGCAGGAGCGACGAGTGAAACATTCATCCTTGACGCTGATCAAGTAACAACAGCCTGGCCAGCTAGTTTAGCTTGCTCTCTCACTCCTCAAGTCACCTCTTTCTTCTCTCTGAATAAATCAATAATGTAATCAAATAAAATATACAGCTAAAACAGCATGCAGGGCCAATACAAGTGCTGTTAAACTTAAAGGCCATAAAAAACGACAACACACATGCTGCCTTTCATCACTGAGAAGAACAGTAACAAGTATTAGGCTCTGTCATAATTCCTTTTATTCTCACTTCAGTGACTCCGGTCAGCAGGGCTGAGCTCACCAGACTAAATCCAGGTCCATAAAGAGGTTAGCAAACTACTAAGTCTTTATTTGCCGCTCACATGAAACACAATTTGTTTCACAAGAGATCGTTTGCTGAATTCCTTTGTAAGTTTTGCTCGTTGAGAAACAAGTGTACTCGCACAATTCGTCCTCGGAGAATAACTTTTTTGAACGAAGATCTGAAAATTCAGGTGTTTGTAGCAGTATGCCTACTAACCTTTACGGTTCACTGACACAGCTATCATAATGTGCCTATGCCATGATGAAAATGTCTATAGAATTACCAAACTGTCAATTTATTACAATTTCATTAGGGATGCATGATATTATCGGAATGGTATCGGCCGATATTAGCATTAAAGTTCAATATCAAACATCGGCCACTCCATTAAAATAACTCGCCGATATAAAAGACACTGTTTTTGCCTGCAGCGGCAGCACAATGCGATGATGTCACGCGCGCCTACCTGATCTCATGGCGGAGAGGAAAATTCAAAATGTTGGCAGAATGGAAGTTTTATGTTTTGTTGGTGAGGATGTCGGATTCCAAAGATTTTTGGACTACGTTGAGCCTCGCTACATCATCCCCAGTCAGAGATATTTTTCCGACGTAGCCTTACCCGAGTTACAAGCCGTCATTTCCTACGTCATTGAGAAGCTAATAGCCGATAGCACCATACAATAATACGTATTAATGTCTATGGATAGTACGACTTGTTGGGTGAGTTTTACCACAGACATTTGGACGTTGTGTTAGCTCCGTTAGCATGATTAGTCTTACGGCACAATGGATAGACAAAAACTTTGAACTTAAAAAGTCTGTCCTTCATGCACAAGAGTGCAGAGGATCCCACACTGCAGCTAGGAACCTGGAACAAACCTCCACAAGTGAGACAGCATCGCAGGTGACTAATGCTAATAAATAACATTTAACACTTTTCATTTAATATAAGTTAAAGTGCTATTCATATCATATGGCTGTTACTAAATATATGTCACCAGCTCTTACAGCTGTTGCACAATTTTTGTAGCAAATAAGCCTAAATAAGAGGGCTCTGTTCTGACAAAGGAACGTATATAAAATATTGGTATCGGTTATCGACCAAATAAGTTTTTACATATCGGATATCGGCCAAAAGTCAAATATCGCGCATCACTAAATTTTATACATTAAAAACTATAACTGTGTTCAAATCCTACTTTTAATCTTTGTTTGGTGATGATCCACTTTAAGATTCAACTGTTAGACCTGTACATAAAGTTGGTCTGAACCAAATATGGCCTCTTTATCCATATGAATATTCCAAGTGGGGATGTACAGAGTCATTTACGTATCAAATCTGGGTCCAGTCAGGGCTTTTTTTTTACCCATCTGTATCAGAGTTGACTACATTCAGCTCCTGACCTCTGATGTTGACCTTCTGTTTACAGTTTTATAGATGACAAGATGTAGCGTGCCAACATGTCAAGCACTTGGAACTGATTTTAGGTACGGAGTCTGCAAGTGTGAGAAGCAAAAGGAGAAATACAAGTAGCAAACTGAAACTAGACATCAGCAAATACTTCATCTTAAAATGATTTGGATCAGTATCTGGGATAAAAAAAAAAATCTTGATGGGACAACATTTTGTTCTAGGCAACAATTTGAAACCGTGTCAGTTCAACAGACTTCCCTTTAGTGTGTGAAACCTATAGTGGTGTTTTAAAGTTTGTGAATCCTTTAGAATCCTCTATATTTCTGCTTAAATTTTATCTAAAACATCAGCTTTTCACACAAGTCCTAAAAGTAGATGAAGAGAACCCAGTTAACATAGGAGACAAAAATATTATACTTGGTTGGTCATTCATTTATTGAGGAAAATGATCCAACATTTCATATTTGTGAGTGGTATAAGTATATGAATTTTTCCAACAATTTTCAGACAGGTCATCTGGACAGTTTCTTATTTTTGCAAGAAACTGTCTAGATGACCTGTCTGAAAATTGTTGGATTGTATACCTGGATTATTGAGCATGGACATTT